ATTTCACGAACATTAATTGTCACGCACAACGAGTCTGCGTGGAAAATGTCAGCTCGATTGGATCACGGGAAGTGGGTTAAAAAACGACCGAAAGATTTGCACGGTCGTAAGCGCGCAAGCAAGCAAGCAAGTGAACTTCATATAAAGGATTTAAAACAAAAACATGAACAAGAAAACATCTTAAAGTGACTAAGTGCAAACAGAAAATCCAAGAAAGGACAGCAAAATATTGCAGAAAAATCACCGTACACCAACGCTGTGTGCAAATATCCCAGTGGGGTGCAAGTCAAACAACAACAACAACCACAAGACAACTTAGATTAAGGCCATCAGTCTAACTCTGTACTACAACAAACAAACATGGCCAAAACAAAAAAAACCACACCAAGTTAACGACCCCCCGACCTGAGCCCACTCCTGAGTCGTGAAATTAAAACTGAGTCAACAACTGGGACAAAGTTGTCTTCTCCTTTTTGAAAGCCGCCCTGGAGCACAAACCACTCCACCCTGCCACAGCCAGCGGCTATGAATCACAAATAGTGCATTCTGTTCTTTGCCGCAAAGAATAAATATAATAACGCAACAAACAAAAGAATAAAAACCCCTCCCAATCCCTTTCGGCGAGGTATTAAAATTAGTTCTAGATTTGAAGCTTTCGTGACTGCAAGGATCCACGCTCTTAGTTTTGTCGGTGAAGTCACGTAGGTAAAAAAATGAAATAAAATTTAATAAAAATAATAAAAATATCACAAAATGCCCCCGAAACGTCGTGATTTTTTATTGTTTAATATTTTTATATTATTTTATTTTATAATGTTTAATTTTCATTATTTTATTATTTCCATTCTACGTGACTTTTCCGAAAGAACCAATAAGATGAATCCCTGCAGTCACGAAAGCTTTAAATCGAAAACTAAGAGTATGTATACAAATTAATTTACTGTGCGTTTTATTTAATTCTCCCCAAAAAACCATTGTTACTGCTACACGAGTTTTGCTGCATGGCCCATGAAATACCGTAGCAAAGGGCGATGTAACAATTTACAAGCTCATGAAGGTCTCTCCACGCCGTGCAGATCGCGGGAGGCAACTTGATATTGATTGCGAGTTTCACCATTGGAACCTCATTTGCCAGTAAAAAATATGATAATTGTTTTTTTACACTTCTCTCTGGCAACAAAACTGACACCTTTAATACAAGGAGTCATGTTTGCATAGACCACAATATCTGCAGTCGTAATGCAAACAAAAAACATAACTCTGATAATGTATGTGCACTGTCCTTGAAGTTACCCCTTTTGGCGTCATCTGGCCCAACACATGTGAGACGAGGCTCTAAGAAAAGCTGTCTCGGGTGTGGACTAATCAACTTCAAGGACAGTGCATATTATTATCAGAGTTTAGTTTTTTTGTTTGCATTACGACTGCAGGTATTGTGGTCTATGCAAACATGGCTCCTTGTAAAAAAGGTGTCAGTTTTGTTGCCAGATAGAAGGGTAAAAAAACAATTATCGATTGCGAGTTTGTGCTTTACCTGATTCGCTTCAAAGGTACGGGCGCAGCGCTGCAATTGCGCACTCGTGCTACTGCTGGCGGAAGGACCTCTGCAGGAGGGAGGGAGGAGCTCTGTGCTTCTCCCGATAGCTACAAGGGGCCGTCGATAAATGACGTCACGCGATTTTGGACGATTTTTGACCCCCCCCCCCCTTCGTCACACGACGTCACAAAAAGTCAGACCCCCCCCCTCTCAAATATGACGTCATAAAGCTCTGCCCCCCCCCCCCCCCCAAATAAATAAAAAATGCTTCAAATCGCTTTAAACTGTTGTGATTGTAGTGCGTATTTAATGCGGCGCTGCACTCTGATGTTGTAGGAGAAAACATTTATTAAAAAGTCGAATTAATTAAGTAGAACGTGTTGTCTATATTTATTTAAAGTTGCGCATTTTGATGCGACGTCACATTTCTCAAACCCTCCCACCTCGTCACACATCGTTACCTACTCAACCACCCACCCACTCACTCACCCACTTACTCACTCACCCACCCACTCACTCACTTACCCACCCACTCACTCACTCACTCACCCACTCACTCACTCACTTACCCACCCACTCACTCATCCACTCACTCACTCACCCACTCACCCACTCACTTACCCACCCACTCACTCACCCACCCACCCACTCATCCACTCACCCACCCACTCACTCACTCACTCACCCACTCACTCACCCACCCACCCACTCATCCACTCACCCACCCACCCACCCACTCACCCACCCACTCACTCACCCACTCACCCACTCACTCACTCACCCACCCACTCATCCACTCACCCACCCACTCACTCACTCACCTACCCACTCACTCACCCACCCACTCACCACACTGCAGGTCACTACACTGCTATTTTGGCGTCTTCCCTCGCACTGGTCCGCTTTGGAATTCCCTCCCAGCATCGCCAGGCCGTCGTAATAACCCTCGCTCAATTCGAGAAACATGTGCATCTTCATCTATTACAACTCTTGACGGTGCTGTTTGTGGCTGGCCGCATCACGTTTCGACCCTTTGGGCCCTGTGCTCAACGACTAAATAATTAAAAAAACTCACCATGACCCTTCGCTAATGTTCACGAACAATCCTGCCCCCATCGCCAGCGGCTCATCCACGCAGCATGTGTGTACGGCTCTGATAGAGATGGAGGAGGGGAGATGAGAGGGAGGGGAGAGAGAGAGGGAGGAGAGGGAGGGGAGAGAGAAGAGAGAGGGGAAGAGAGAAGGAGGAGTCTTTTGACTTTTAAACAACTTTTATTGTCGCCAGCATGCAACAGCACTGGAGGCGATTTCAAAAATGAAACACACGAAGTCACCAGCAAACAAAATAAAATAAACGCTACAAATCCACGCGCCGTGGCGCTAAAAGCACCGCGCACAACACCGATACGTGGAGTGCAAGAGCCTGGACTTGTTGTTCAAGGTCCTCAAAAACATCCTCCTAAAGTTCAGCCTCCACTTCTCCCCGACGGTCCTCATCTTTGGATACCCAAGGGGCGACGGACCCCAACATCTTCAGGGGCTGGTCAACGTGCTCGTCGGCTACGCCAAGCTCGCCATGCACATGGCGAGGAAGGTGGCCCTGGAGGGGAAACGTCCGGCCAGCAGCCTGGGCATCTTCCGCGCTCTGGTCGGAGCCAGGGTGTGGCTGGAATTCCGCCATGCGCGGCTGACCCACGCCGTGCCGACCTTCAAGGAGCAGTGGGCGATGGAGGAGGCCGTGTGCTCGGTGGCAGATGACGGGGAGCTCTGCGTGCTGATATGAGCTACCCGTCGGAGGCCGTTGGATTGCGAGAAGGGCTGCGTGCAGACCGAGAGAGTGAGCGAGAGAGTGACCGAGAGAGTGAGCGAGAGGGTGAGCGAGAGGGTGAGCGAGAGAGTGAGCGAGAGAGTGACCGAGAGAGTGAGCGAGAGAGTGAGCGAGAGAGTGACCGAGAGAGTGAGCGAGAGAGCGAGAGAGTGACCGAGAGAGTGACCGAGAGAGTGAGCGAGAGGGTGAGCGAGAGAGTGAGCGAGAGAGTGAGCGAGAGACCGAGAGAGTGACCGAGAGAGTGAACGAGAGAGTGAGCGAGAGGGTGAGCGAGAGAGTGAGCGAGAGGGTGAGCGAGAGAGTGAGCGAGAGAGTGAGCGAGAGAGTGACCAAGAGAGTGACCGAGAGAGTGACCGAGAGAGTGACCGAGAGAGTGACCGAGAGAGCGACCGAGAGAGCGACCGAGAGAGCGACCGAGAGAGCGACCGAGAGAGTGACCGAGAGAGTGACCGAGAGAGTGACCGAGAGAGTGACCGAGAGAGTGACCGAGAGAGTGACCGAGAGAGTGACCGAGAGGGTGAGCGAGAGGGTGAGCGAGAGGGTGAGCGAGAGGGTGAGCGAGAGAGTGACCGAGAGAGTGAGCGAGAGAGTGAGCGAGAGAGTGACAGAGAGAGTGAGCGAGAGAGCGAGAGAGTGACCGAGAGAGTGAGCGAGAGAGTGAGCGAGAGGGTGAGCGAGAGAGTGAGCGAGAGGGTGAGCGAGAGAGTGAGCGAGAGAGTGAGCGAGAGAGTGAGCGAGAGAGTGACCGAGAGAGTGAGCGAGAGAGCGAGCGAGAGAGTGAGCGAGAGAGTGAGCGAGAGGGTGAGCGAGAGAGAGAGCGAGAGGTGGGGGTTTACATAAGCAAAGTTATTTTAAAAAAAATTACGAAATGATGAACGAAGCAAAGTGCCGACTACACCGTGCATCTTCTTGTTTCCACTGATCGTAAAAAGAAAAGAAAGAGGTTGGATGAAGACCTTCCCCCAAGCCTCGGTCATCGTCTCTTCGTACAATTTTTGCGATGTGGTAACAACAACAAAATTCCCACCCAGCTCACGCGCCCGAACTGATTTCATCTCCCCATCTTTCCCGGTGGATGCGTTCCCATGCCTTGGCTGCCACCTTCTGAACCTTTAAGTATGGAAATAAAACACTTCAAAGTAAAACAAAAAGAGGGATGGAGGGGAGGGATGGGGAGAAAGAGAAGAGAGATAATCTTTCGTGAAATATTTCATTAAAAAATAAAGGGGGGGGGGCACATAAAGCAAAGCATTGAAAAAAATTACGAAATTATGAACGAAGCAAAGTGCCGACTACACCGAGCATCTTCTTGTTTCCTCTGATCGTAAAAAAAAAGTTCCTATCTAGATTTGAAGCTTTCGTGACTGCAAGGATTCATATTCTTGGGTTTTTTCGGTAAAGTCACGTAGGTAAAATTTTTAAATTAAAATTAATAAAAGTAAAATAATTTTTATTTTATTTTATTGTTTTACCTACGTGACTTTACCGAAAAAACCCAATAATAGAACCTCCTATCCCTGGGTGCTCGCGAGAGAATGAAGGAAGGGGTGTGTGTGGGGGGGGGGGGGGGAAGAGATCGTTGGCTGCGTGGGTAGGTGGGACAACCGTCTCTGCCTCAAAGCTTTAAAACTTAGAAGAACCCCACCGCACCTCTGCATCGCCTCACGGCGATCGAACTCTTTCTCTCTCTCTCTCGTTCGATCGCCCGCCCCTGGCGCCATCCACATTAATCGACATCTCAGGAGCCACAGCTTGCTCGCTCGAGGCTTCTTCTTGGTCTGCCAGCTGCTGCTGCTTCTGCTGCTGCTGCTGCTGCTGCGGCGGGAGTGGCTGGGATTGTATCCGACGACCATGACTCCTGCCGAGAGAGCGATAGTTGCGCTGTGCGTGGCGAGCGCCGCTATCGTCATTGCCGCATCCTCGACTCCGTTTGCCCAGGTGAGCGCGTGCACGGCTTTCTCCGGGTCGCGCGCGTGTGCGCGTGCGTGCGTGCGCGTGCGTGTGGGGGGGGGGGGGGGAGCGGTGGTGGGGCGGTTAGCGCTGCGCTGCAAACCCGGCGGACCAGGCGTTCGATACACGCTCACGGCCGACACCGGTGACGATTATTTGAACCCGGTCCTGGGCCTCCCCCTAGGTCGACTCAGCCTACACATGAGTAGCTGGTGCGGTGTGTAAACATCGCCGCTGGGGATGTGGTGCTGGCCACCCACCCCCTCGTGTGCCGTGCCGGCCTTCATAGGTGCTGCTCGCTAACAGCACTTGCCCCAACAGTCTGTAAAGGCTATAAGGGTGATCTTTGTCTTTGTGCGTTTAATCGCGCAGTGTTAAGCGCGCTGCGCTATGAATCCCGGCCACCCCGCCGCTCACGACCAATAACAGTGGCGAATATTCAAAGCGGTCCTGGGCCTCCCCTAGGTCGACTCAGCCTACAAATGAGTACCGATGTATAAACATCGCCACGAGGGAGACAAAAGGGCGGTCGGTCGTGGTGCTGGCCACCTAAACCACACTTGTGTCTTGCCGGCCTTCATAGGTGCTGCTCGCTAACAGGAGTCATCCCAACAGTCTGAGAGCGAGTGAGTGTGTTGCTGTAACCTTTATTGTGGTGGTTGAACATCGTATGGATGAGATTAACTCTCTTCTTGGTTCTTTAGGTAAAGTCACGTAGAAGGGAAATAAAAACATTAAAAAAAATAAAACATAATGAAATACAATTCTCACAAAGTTTCGGCCACAACGCAATTGCATTTTATTATGTTTTATTTGCATTATTTTATTATTTCCCTTCTACGTGACTTTACCGAAAGAACCAAGAAGATGAATCCCTGCAGTCACGAAAGCTTTAAATTGAGATGAACTAGTCAGTCTGGAAGAGCGAGGCCATACGGGGGATCTTTCTATTTGCTTTTTTCTCGAGGTGCTCGACCTCTCGTGCGGCAAATTAAAACAATGGGGGCATTTCTTAAATGCCCAGTGACCTTCCACGCGCCCCCATCTCCTCCTCTTCCTCGCGAGACGACAGGAGCGATCTGGGAACGAGACAGAGGAAGATGAGCAACGTGTTAACAAAATATGGCGATGTGATGCGAGACGAGATAGACGTGGAAAGGAGACGGAGATAGAGCGATGCGAGAGAGATGTGGACATGAGACAGAAAAGCAGGCATGTTTATCTTCTTGGTTCTTTCGGTAAAGTCACGTAGAAGGGAAATAATAAAGTAATACAAATAAAACATAATAAAATAATTCCTACGACGTTTCGGCCACAACGCAAGCAGCCGTCCTCAGGTGAAGAACAGGTCTGTCGGAAAGACGCTGTTTTTCCATAATAAAATAATTCTCGGGAAGACAGACCTGTTTTTCACCTGAGGACGGCTGCTTGCGTTGTGGCCGAAACGTCGTGAGAATTATTTTATTATGTTTTATTTTTATTATTCTATTATTTCCCTTCTACGTGACTTTACCGAAAGAACCAAGAAGATGAATCCCTGCAGTCACGAAAGCTTTAAATCGAAATTTATTTCATTATGTTTTATTTTCATTATTTTATTATTTCCCTTCTACGTGACTTTACCGAAAGAACCTAGAAGATGCATCCCTGCAGTCACGAAAGCTTTAAATATTAATTTATTGTATTATGATTTATTTTTATTATTCTATTATTTCCCTTCTACGTGACTTTATCGAAAGAACCAAGAAGATGAATCCCTGCAGTCACGAAAGCTTCAAATCAGACATGTTTAGTGAGATTTTATGAATCGTTAATGTAGTCTGGCTGGTGTTCGACAGGATGAGGATTTGAGCTGACGTTTTAAGCACTCCTCTTTCCCCGTGACTCATCGGCTACTTGCGCTGCTTGGAGACCTGGTCTTTTGCTTTGGCCAGCTCCTCCGCTGCGTCCGTGTACAAAGACTACCTGTCCATCCTGACCCTACCCACACAGTCACTACCCCTACCACTCACCCTGACCCTACACACTCAGGCACTACCCCTACCACTCACCCTGACCCTACCCACACAGTCACTACCCCTACCACTCACCCTGACCCTACCCACACAGTCACTACCCCTACCACTCACCCTGACCCTACCACTCAGCCACTACCCCTACCACTCACCCTGACCCTACCCACACAGTCACTACCCCTACCACTCACCCTGACGCTACCCACTCAGCCACTACCCCTACCACTCACCCTGACCCTACCCACACAGTCACTACCCCTACCACTCACCCTGACCCTACCCACTCAGTCACTACCCCTACCACTCACCCTGACCCTACCCACACAGTCACTACCCCTACCACTCACCCTGACCCTACCCACTCAGTCACTACCCCTACCACTCACCCTGACCCTACCCACACAGTCACTACCCCTACCACTCACCCTGACCCTACCCACACAGTCACTACCCCTACCACTCACCCTGACCCTACCCACTCAGTCACTACCCCTACCACTCACCCTGACCCTACCCACACAGTCACTACCCCTACCACTCACCCTGACCCTACCCACTCAGTCACTACCCCTACCACTCACCCTGACCCTACCCACTCAGCCACTACCCCTACCACTCACCCTGACCCTACCCACTCAGTCACTACCCCTACCACTCACCCTGACCCTACCCACTCAGTCACTACCCCTACTACTCACCCTGACCCTACCCACACAGTCACTACCCCTACCACTCACCCTGACCCTACCCACTCAGTCACTACCCTACCACTCACCCTGACCCTACCCACTCAGCCACTACCCCTACCACCCACCCTGACCCTACCCACTCAGTCACTACCCCTACCACTCACCCTGACCCTACCCACACAGTCACTACCCCTACCACTCACCCTGACCCTACCCACTCAGTCACTACCCCTACCACTCACCCTGACCCTACCCACACAGTCACTACCCCTACCACTCACCCTGACCCTACCCACACAGTCACTACCACTCACCCTGACCCTACCCACTCAGTCACTACCCCTACCACTCACCCTGACCCTACCCACACAGTCACTACCCCTACCACTCACCCTGACCCTACCCACTCAGTCACTACCCCTACCACTCACCCTGACCCTACCCACTCAGCCACTACCCCTACCACTCACCCTGACCCTACCCACTCAGCCACTACCCCTACCACTCACCCTGACCCTACCCACTCAGTCACTACCCCTACCACTCACCCTGACCCTACCCCACACAGTCACTACCCCTACCACTCACCCTGACCCTACCCACACAGTCACTACCCTACCACTCACCCTGACCCTACCCACTCAGTCACTACCCCTACCACTCACCCTGACCCTACCCACACAGTCACTACCCCTACCACTCACCCTGACCCTACCCACTCAGTCACTACCCCTACCACTCACCCTGACCCTACCCACTCAGCCACTACCCCTACCACTCACCCTGACCCTACCCACTCAGTCACTACCCCTACCACTCACCCTGACCCTACCCACTCAGTCACTACCCCTACTACTCACCCTGACCCTACCCACACAGTCACTACCCCTACCACTCACCCTGACCCTACCCACTCAGTCACTACCCCTACCACTCACCCTGACCCTACCCACTCAGCCACTACCCCTACCACTCACCCTGACCCTACCCACTCAGTCACTACCCCTACCACTCACCCTGACCCTACCCACACAGTCACTACCCCTACCACTCACCCTGACCCTACCCACTCAGTCACTACCCCTACCACTCACCCTGACCCTACCCACACAGTCACTACCCCTACCACTCACCCTGACCCTACCCACACAGTCACTACCCCTACCACTCACCCTGACCCTACCCACTCAGTCACTACCCCTACCACTCACCCTGACCCTACCCACACAGTCACTACCCCTACCACTCACCCTGACCCTACCCACTCAGTCACTACCCCTACCACTCACCCTGACCCTACCCACTCAGCCACTACCCCTACCACTCACCCTGACCCTACCCACTCAGCCACTACCCCTACCACTCACCCTGACCCTACCCACTCAGTCACTACCCCTACCACTCACCCTGACCCTACCCACTCAGTCACTACCCCTACCACTCACCCTGACCCTACCCACACAGTCACTACCCCTACCACTGGGTGATGGCCACTTCACGCCGTGCGGTTTGTCGGGGGTAAATTTCTCAATACTTCGCCACGCTGGTCATAAAGGGTTTGGTGAAGGGTAACGTGGAAGTGCGGTGGATGATTGTTTTTTTGTTGCTGCACTGCTCTCTCCTGCACGCAAGAATAGTCTTTGAGTCACGGCGAGGATTTCATGCAGCAATAAAAGGCATTGTTTGCCTTGTGTAACGCGTAGAGGATTTTTTTTAGTTGTTGCACATGTTTCAAGTTCAAGTTCATTTATTAGGTATAGCCCTGTGAGCCATTCAGCTCTTGAATCGGGTGCAACCGCAACAAACAAAAACATGAACAAAAAACATGTTTGACTCACAGGTTACGACATCGCATTTTTCCACAACTCTGGCTGTCACCTGATGATGCCTGTTGTAAATTGCCGGTGAAACGTCGTACTCGAAATGTCGATGTCATGGGTTTACTCTCCAACACACCGGTGTACTGAGCTAGGATTGAATAGCCACGTTTGATTGACGTGACACAACCCTTACTAGTTGGCTGTGTCAGGTGGTGGCGGGTTTCACGACACATTTATATTTACGGGTTCGAACCCAAATAAAAAAAAAACCCTATTATGGTTCGCTTCGTCATGTTGAGTTTTTTTGCCATACACGGCGGGTTTCTTTGAGGGTTTTTTTTTGTGTCGGTCATTCTGAATGCCTGGTCTCTCGCCCGATGCTTGGCTTAGTGGCAAGCGATACGCAAAATTTGTTACACAATTCGGTCGCGATGATCGCTACCCTCACCCCCATTAATTGTCACGCGGTCGATTCGGCGTGCACACCACCCAGGTGACAACTGCCGTTTGTTGGGCTGTGTCGGGTGGTGGAGGGGTTTCACAACGCGCATTTTAGCCAGATTATTCTACGGCCTAACCCCCCAAATTTTTTTTTTACAAATCCCTTCGTGGTTTTGCCCCATCGCTTGTTTTCATTTCTCGGCGTCGCATTCTCGCCCTCCACGTTCTCAATCGTTGCGGCCTCTCTTCGTTCCTCCGTCTCATATTGCTCAGTCCACGCTGTCGCTCTGTCTCTCTTTCTCTCTCTTTCTTCTCCGTGGCGTGCGCGATGACACCACAACCACGTGACTTTTGTTTTGTATTGTGCGCGGTGCTTTCAGCGCCACAGCGCGTCGATTTGTAGCGTTTATTTTCATTTGTTTGCTGGTGACTTTGTGTGTTTCACATTGAAATCGCCTCCAGTGCTTTTTGCTGCTGGCGGCAATAAAAGATGTTTTGAAAGTCAAAAAGTCTCTCTCTTCTCGACAACCCCCATCGTTGGAACAAACTTCGCCCTACACATTAAGCCAGGGGTGTCCAAACTTTTTGCAAAGAGGGCCACATTTGATAAAGTGAAGATGCCCGGGGGCCAATAGTTCCTTTTGACATTGTTTTAACCACAAAAGTTACGTGGAAATACACACTGTTATGAAACAATTTCAATGTCGCAATTACCTTTCTTTTTCAAATGACAATGTAACCAAATATACGCTACTCAGGCAGACGTGAACAACTCTAAAAACGCAATTTGGCCTTTCTTTCAGTCAGATAACATTGAACAAACTGTATAGACTACCTTAAATTTCTATGAGTTTTATGATGTATTTATTCTGACAGAGCTAGCGAGCCATAAATAACACATTATAAGACCGAAGCTACGGGCCGTATGAAGAACAGGTCTGTCGATCAGACTCTGTCTTATTGACTCTGTCTTATCGACAGACCTGTTCTTCACCTGAGGACGGCTGCTTGCGTTGTGGCCGAAACGTCATGAAAATTGTATTTTATCATGTTTAATTTTTATCATTTTATTATTTCCATTCTACGTGACTTTACCGAAAGAACCAAGAAGATACGGTGTATTGTTAGTTCGCCATGAGCCGAATTGGCATAGCAAGTTGTCCAATTTCGGCACAGCACGTGGAGTCATGCCACTCACCACGACCAAAACAATGTCGACCCACGTGGCCAGCGTGTTCAGACCCGTCGCTGTCGACTTGACCTTGCTTGTGCACCCTGCGCAAAGCCAATCATCAAAGAAATGTCGTCTAAACCTATACATCAAGAAGTAATAGGAAGATACCGAAGTATAAATCCTTTAGGGACCGTCCATAAATGACGTCACGCATCTAGGGAGGGGGGTTGTCAGACATTTGTGACGATGTGTGACGAGGGGGGGGGGGGTGAGAAATGTGACGTCACATCAAAATGCGCAACTTTAAATAAATATAGAATTGTTATAACAACACTAATTGTTATAACAACACTCCTACAACATCAGAGTGCAGCGCCACATTAAATACGCACTACGATGACAATAGTTTAAAGCGATTTGAAGCATGTTTTATTTTCAAAATGGAAATATGGTTTGGCGGGGGGGGGGGGCAGAACTTTGTGACGTCATATTTTAGGGGGGGGGTCTGACTTTTTGTGACGCCGTGTAACGAAGGGGGGGTCAAAAATCGTCCAAAATCTCGTGACGTCATTTATGGACGCCCTCTTAGTCTGCGAGACAAATCCACAGTTTAGGATAGAATTGATGCAGCGTGTGTGTCAATGCTTATAGTGTGCGATGAGTTTGGAAAACAAATTTGGAAAGCAAATGTATCGGGGCAGGAGGTCATGGCAGATAATCCGGCAAGGCCAGAGCCCCCTATGTGCCGAATTAGCAAGGGTTTTGCTCTGCATACTGACCTATCAGTTGGAAAGTTGGAAATCCAGGCTGGCAGATTGACGGAGGCCCCCAGCACATGAGCGCGTGATGCCAGAGACGATCAAAGGCTTTGATAAATGTCAAGGACTAAGAGCGGAGATTACCTCGTCTTTCCAAATTAAAAGAAAGAAAAAAAAACACGGCTCAAATTTATGTGAGTCTAATTAAACCCTCCAGCACACTACCATGTTAATGAGACGTCAGATTTATTACATATTGTTTCTTTAAATGTACGAAATAAATTATACTCCACCCTATTTGGCTACATGTTCAAATTGTGTGCTGAGTGGCTCAGAGTTTAGAGTGCTTAGCCGGCACCACTAAGAGCCTGGGTTCGAATCAGGGTTTCGTGATTAACCGATGTTTTCAGCCAAGTCACCTTACATTGAAACTCTATGCTCACATAGAGACCAACAGACTCGCACAGAGACCCATAGACTCATAGAGACACCCACAGACTCGCACAGAGACCCATAGACTCGTATAGAGTGCCCACAGACTCACATCGAGACCCATCGACTCACATAGAGACTCACACTCACGTAGAGACAGACCCATAGTCTTACATAGAGACCAATACTCTTTGGTTTTTTCGGTAAAGTCACATAGGCAAACATTTAAAATAAAATAAATTATATCACGACGTTTCGGGCGCAACACAAGCGTCCTTCTTCAGGTGGAGACAACTTAGCGAAAGCACAACCGCTTAGGTGTGCGCCCGAAACGTCGTGATTTATTTTTTTATTTTATTTTTTACAGTCACGAAAACTTCAAATCTAGAATTATAGAGACCAATAGACTACGGAGATTGAATTATGATTAAACAGATTTTTCGATTTAAAGCTTTCGTGACTGCAGGGATTCATCTTCTTGGTTCCTTCGGTAAAGTCACGTAGAAGGGAAATAATAAAATAATAAAAATAAAACATAATACAATAATTCTCACGACGTTCGGCTGCTTGCGTTGTGGCCGAAACGTCGTGAGAATTATTTTATTATGTTTTATTTTTATTATTTTATTACTTCCCTTCTACGTGACTTTACCGAAAGAACCAAGAAGATGATTAAACTGGTTTCTCAAGTGTAATAATTTGATAGTCTCAGCCCGCTTAACAATGACTTAGAAACCCCACAGGCCAAATAGAGTCGGCGTAGACTAAGATGTCGATTTTTTTCATACGTGTTCTCCAGTATAACCAGTTGATATTTTGTTTGATAGCCTGTGTGATGAACACCGTCCGCAGGGCACATATTGAACAAGTATAACCCGTAAAAACAAAGTTTTTCACTATAAATCCTTTATATGCGTGGCGGCTAGAGTCCTCTCATCCTCTGGCTTGAGATGGCTGCCACCTATGGGTCAGATGATTGCATGGCAGCATTAAGCAATTGGTAAATAAATATCATATTTTTGTCCTAAAAAGTGTAAAATTTTGGGAAAAAATTTCACGAACATTAATTGTCACGCACAACGAGGCTGTGTGCAAAATGTCAGCTCGATTGGATCACGGGAAGTGGGTTAAAAAAACGACCGAAAGATTTGCACGGTCCTAAGCAAGCAAGCAAGTGAACTTAATATAAAGGATTTAAAAAAAAGGTGTAACCAAAAAGTGGGTGAGAGCTGACGGTGACTGCAGATTTCGTTCCGTGACAACATACTCATCCTGGGCTGTTCTCTGAAACATGGTGATTATTGACTGCTGGCTTTTGCTTCATAGCTGCAACGGATTCCCTTGTGCCACTTACGCACAATCGCTATTTGTCAACACGTATTGCCGACTTCAAGTTCAACGTCGCGTATCTCACCACCGAATTAGGTGGTGATAATTGTTCTCCAAGTAACTCACCGGCAAGTAAGCCAAAAACAATAACAGCTGGCACGTTAAACGCTTCAAGGACAATGCATATATTATCAGTGTGTTTTTTGTTAGAATTTTGTTGCCAGAAAGAAAGGGGAAAAACCCTATGATTATATTGTGGTACTGGCAAAGGAGGTCTAATGATGTAGATGTTCACCTCGAGCCCTCATTACTTTGATAGTGCATTGTCTTTGAGCTGTACGCCTTCTGGCGTCTTCTGGTCTAGCACCAACTGAGACGAGGCTCAAAAGAAAGCCGTCTCTGGTGTGGACCAATCAGTGTCAAGGACAATGCATATATTATCAGAGTGTGTTTTTTGTTTGTATTTTGACCACAAGTATTGTGGTTAATGATTCCTTGTAAAAAGGTTTAAGTTTTGTTGCCATAAAAAAGGGGAAAACCCCCTCTATTACGATACAAGTTACGTAAAGAGTAAATTCTGTTTTGCCGTACACTGTCCATTTCTCTGATCCACAACCTCTGCTGACGTCACTCAGCAGGCCTCGTCACGTGATGGCGGCTGCCGGCCGGGATTCGCCGTGAGCCACGTCTGTGCGGACATCCCGAAGAGTGTTCCGTCAGGCCACGTGATCCTCACCCGTGAGTCTATAACCTTTGGATAATGAAGAACACATGTGGATAACCCATAGATAATGGGTAACTGATGGATAATGGATAATAACTCATAGATAATGGATAACCGATGGATAATAGATAATGCCTCCTCACCCGTGAGTCTATAACCTTTGGATAATGAAGAACACATGGTGCATAACCCATAGATAATGGATAACTGATGGATAATGGATAATAACTCATAGATAATGGATAACCGATGGATAATAGATAATGCCTCCTCACCCGTGAGTCTAAACCCATATATAATGGATAATAACCCATGCAAAATGGATAACCCATGGATAACACTGGTCAACACACTTTTTCTGGCATAAGGTATTCCAACGGTTTTAAGGTAAATTTGGGGTGCTGATTCCAAATCTGGCATCAGTTTTTGTCTATCACATCAGGTTTTTGAGATATCAAATATTGCACTTGCAATAAAAAATTGCAGAAGAAAATATTAAATAAATGTGGATATCTACATAAAATGATATTATAAACACATTATCCTAAAAACACAGCACCATATTTTAACACTAAAGCAGTCACTGACTCGCAACAACTTGCAATCATAAGTGACAGAGTTAATTTCGGGTAAAATCAATGAAAATGGGGTATGCCGATAGCATAAAAATGAGATGTGATAGAGCAAATCTGAGATCAGATATGGAATCAGCACCCTGAAATTAGTCGAGAACAGCTGCAAAAGTCCAGGCCAGAAAAACATGTTTTTTTTTGTTGACCAGTGTTATGGTTCCTTACCCTGAATCTAAAGCAATGGATAATGGATACTAATCAATGCACAATGGGTCCCCACCCGTAAGTCGAACCCCGTGGGTGATAATAGAGGCGGTGTTTCTCAAACTTTTAGGTCCTGTGGACCGCTCAGGGAATGCAAACATTCTGCGGACCACACAACTCCCCCCACCCCTCACCCAAACCCCCGCCCCTGGTGACAAAACACATTCACTTATCTCTCTAAATATCAGTAGCCATACAACACTTTTATATTACCGTAGCATTCGTTTTTTTTTTGACGCAGCATTACGTTTTTAGGGTTAGGCTGGTTATCTAACTTCATTTTTTTTCATATCGTGAGAAAAATAGTAATTCACAGCTCAAAAAAAAGGTATAATAAACGTTAGATTTAAAGCTTTCGTGACTGCAGGGATTCATCTTCTTGGTTCCTTCGGTAAAGTCACGTAGAAGGGAAATAATAAAATAAAAAAAATAAAACATAATAAAATAATTCTCACGACGTTTCGGCCACAACGCAAGCAGCCGTCCTCAGGTGGAGAGCAGGTCTGTCGAGTAGACAGTCTTTTTGTTATGTTTTATTTTTATTATTTTATTATTTCCATTCTACGTGACTTTACCGAAAGAACCAAGAAGATAATTAACGTTGTCATCATTTTTCCAAATCAACCCTGCATCACGGCCACTAGTGGGACCAACCCCTGGGCCACGGACCGATGCCGGTCCGTGGCCTGTTAGGAACCAGGCTGCACAGCAGCAGGAAAGTGAGAGCGGTGTGGGACCGCTGACCTAGAGGACCATCGGAGACCAGTTCCTATGATTGCTTTTTCATTGCTTTCATGGCTTTATTTTGGTGATTTCGAAAAGTGTATTGGCTTAGCCATGTTTGTTTGTTGTAGTACAGAGTTAGACTGATGGCCTTAATCTAAGTTGTCTTGTGGTGGTTGTTGTTGTTTGACTTGCATCCCACTGGGATTTTTGCACACAGTGTTGGTGTACGGTGCTTTTTCTGCAATATGTTTCTGTCTTTTCTTGGATTTTCTGTTTGCACATAGTCACTTTAAGATGTTTTTTTGTTCATGTTTTTTTTTCTGTTTGTAACGGTTGCACCCGATTCAAGACCCGAATTTCTCACATGACTCTACCTAATAAATGAACTTGAACTTGAACACCGGTGGTGCCGTGGCCCACACTCCGAGAACCACTGTTGTAGGGAAAAATCAAACATAAGTCGAACTCCATTCTGTCTCCAGACTAGGACTGCCACTTATCGACAGACCAAACATACCCACTCCTATATCATGGGACCGTTTTTGCCAGTATCATAGTATGAAAAATTCGAATAGGTTTTACACTTTCTGGCAAAAAAACAGGAGGTGTTCAGATGTTTAAACACTAAATAGATAGCTGTGGCAAGGATTCAAGTCTGCAATAACCACGCGTATTTGTGGTTAGCATGCAAACATACTCTGATAATTCATGCATTGTCTTTGAAACCGATTAGCCGACACTAGAGACAGCAGCCATCTTTATGGCCTAGTCCAGGGGTCGGCAACCTATGGCTCCGGAGCCGCATGCGGCTCTTTACGGGCTGCTTCATGACGATGAGTACGTATGTACTCAGATGCATTGCGGTTCTTTAAATACAGAATTTTGTACCGAATTGGAAAGAAATGGCTCTTCTTGTTATTTTGGTTGCCGACCCCTGGCCTAGTCTCACGAGTGCCAGAGCAGATAACGCCAAAAGGTGACCACTGTTCGCCTTATGATACATTTACCCCGAATGTTGGATTCCCATTCGGAAATTGTCCAGGTGAATGAAACTCTGGACAGGTGGAACCCATAGGGTGCGTGGGAGGTTGAGTGAGTGAGTGAGTCAGTGAGTTACTAAGTGGCATTTTAATGTAAAGAGTCCGTGAATGAGTGGGTGACTGAGTGAGGAGTAGGTTTTTTCACCTTTTCCACAAACCAAACCACAGCAATATTTCCCAATCAGTCTAGACCTGTGCAGTTTTTTTTACAGTAATAAAGTTCAACCCAAGCCCCCAGATCTTGGTAAAAATCATTCCTGTCACCCGAACGCAACTGCTGATACCGGAACTGTTTAGGTCAAACCCGGGCAGTTGGTAACTAGTCTCCTCCCATAAACACACACGTATTTTTTGTAAAATATCAGGCTTTTCAGACCAGTATTATCGATGTTAGTTTTTAAGCAAGCCAACTCTGGAACCGGTTTCGACCTTCCGGATCCCATCGGCAAAGTCAAGTTGGTTAAACAAACTCCGCTGGATTAATCACACGTCACGAGCAAAGAGCGCCCGATCGAAACGATGGGATCATAGTCGAATACCAGATTCGGGGCATGATGTCATTTATGGGGTGAAAAACACGAGGAGTGCCTTCTTGGCTGGGAGGGATATTCAAACAAAAGCGTCATCGTACCTCAGGGAAGGTGGGAACGTAATGCCCAAATAAATTACAATATAAGCAACACGCAACAACGTTTTTAATTAAACACGCTGTAGCTGTGGTCGGCACGCCTAGCTGTGAACCCTGTGGGAATTGAATTCGATTGTGGCTAACAATCGGGTGCTGGGTGATGCGTGCACTTTGAACCGGCCCTGGATCTGCCTTGACCTCTTCACGAACCCATGACGGAACCAGTGTGGTGAATTCCCTCTTATAGCCGCTGGGCTCAGCCTAGTGACCAATAGGTTTTTAGAACACCTTGGTAAGCCACGCATTTTTCTTCTTTCGAGCGGTCTCCAAAGAGGATGTCTTGTAGATTTTGGTTGTGATTTTAGCGATGGCTTGTTACACAAAACGCTGCTCGGTTGGCTCGAAGGTTCCGAACACTCTATGATTGGTACAGAAATGCAGACGCCAACTCTTGTAGCCTCGCACGGCGTTTCGGCCTTCAAAAAAACACTTTGGTGCCCTCATCTCCGAAGAAGTGGCTGGGTCACAGCTTCTTTCAAGAACACCGCATTCACGTGAACTTAATTTATTATTACATCATTAATTGTTATTACAATAACGAAAAATATTAAACCAAAAAAAAACCCGCCGAGTGCATAGCCTCCGGCAGCGCGTGTGATCACAATCAAGCGTGCAAATTACAGCTGCTCGCAGCACGTGACTGTTCACCTCAAAAACTCAAAGAAGTAATTTTCTGCGGTGAGACGCGTGTGTAAGGCTGCCAACAAATAATTTCCGACGTGGGCGGGCGTGGTGGTTCGCACAGATTTGTGAAACTAACCAAAAAGAACACATCGGACTATGGCTTGGCAAGGAGACTGCAGGATTACTACATCCATCTGTGCAGTGTTGTCTTGATATCACACTTGTATTGCTACTACTACTACGGTGACTGTTCCAGTGAACTGCACTCATTGATTCCTTATTGAGGCCTCGGTCTGCCAGACTCACTGTTCAACCACCACCACCCTCTACCCTAAAGGTTACATCAACTCACTCGCTCACCCACTCATTCACTCACATACCTACTCTCTCACTCAATAACCCATTGAAGTGAATGGTGTTCATCTCTTCTTTACAGCCCTGCAGAGCCAGTGGTGGAAATTCCACATTCCTATGGCGGGGGCACGTTTTTTTTCTCCCATAGGACAATCACTTTTGGGATTCCCCACAAAGAAGGTGGTACTCGTTTTAACGACCATGGAGAAATGATGAGCTAATGCACCCCCGCACCCCCCCCCCCCCTCACAACCAGGACTAGAACTTGCATACTTCCACTTGCTAGCCATTCGCTGTACTTCTGAGCCGCCTGGCCGGATAAATAAAATGGTAACTACGACCGTCATGTGAGGTCCACATTCGGTTGTGGTTCACACGGCTAAACGCCACGTCAGCACACACTGCGCTGGCAAACGCTGACGGTCTGGGTTGACATCCATTGCTTTACACCGCGACCCACGTTAAAACCAGACTCTCAAGTGTAGCGAGTTGATATAGTGTCAGTTCAGAAACGATTGGCTTCCAAAAAAAAGATATATATACAAAAAAAAACACGATTTTTTTAAATCTACCTTTTATCACTTCATTAGACAAAAAAATCCAGTGTTCAGAGCAAGCAGCCTTCTATGGCATCATCTTTCAAGGACTGCATCAGTCACACAGGTGAGACAACACGAGCAGCAACATTCATTAATCTCGCCACAAACTCTGATGCTGTGATTATGATCGACACCACGAGACGCGTG